AAAAAAAAAAAAAACAAAAAGAAAAAACAATGTACCTTATTGGCTTAAATAATTAGGCCAATATACATAGTTACCTTAGTATTTGCAAAATAAAAGTAAAAATACTAATTACAAACTTGTTTGCAAAATGACCATAAAAATATATATTGATAGTACACTAAAGTAACGAAGAGAAGAAGAGAACTCATGGTTGTTACCTTGGAGGATCTCAGGATCTCATGACTTCATGAGATTTTTGTAGTGTTCTAAAAGTTGATAGGTGCTCGACCACGGCACTTAATGATGTAGGGAAAAGCGTACGAATGGGAAAAGATACAATACGAGTAAACGAGATACTCTCACGTAAAACACGTAAAACGAGATACTCTCTCGATAAAACTCACAATCAATTCATATTTTTATTCAAATCAACTTCAGATAACAAAAGAGGGGGAGTCTGATCGCGCGTCGTGACGCGGCAAATTTAAATTTATATAAGTTTTCCTTGACTAACCTCTACTAACTAGTAGTAGCGACGAGTAAGGGTCGATCCCACGAAGAGTAGGAATTAAGTCGTGACAATTTTTGTTTTAATCGAACTAAACTACGAAAGCAGTAAATGGGGGGATTGTTTTGATAAAAATAAAAATAATAAAATAAAATCAAATCAAATAAATAAGAAAAGTCCAGTTTTCGGTTCAGTTATCACCCAATCTAAATCTACCGCTAATTAATCTCGACGCTTTCTTTAAATTGCTAATGAACCCTAGCTAACAACAAGCTCTGTTAACCGAATTTTTCCTTACCGATTATTTAATCGAAATAGGCTCTTCGACTAAACCTAACTAGTGGACAACCTAGAATAAGCTCTCTAGATTTAATACACTAGCAGCATTAATTCTAGGAAAATAGATCAATCTAAGCAATGGACGCATAAGCTCGGACAATTTAACTTATGTTCACGCTACCCTAAGGATGCACGACCCCTAGTTTACTACTAATGAAACAAAGACAATAACAATTACGGATTAAAGTCTCGTATCTAGCAGTTAAACTATGAATATTTAACGTAGCTGGCCAAACTAAATTAAACATCATAATTCATAAACATTAAACATAGATAACGTGAATCAACTCATCAACAAAAATAAATACGACGTCTCAATTAACCAACGATAAAAATAAATCCTTCAATCCATAGACAAATCAAAGTTAGGGTTCAAACATCCCCTTAAACTGGATAAGAATTCTAACCTAACATACTAATAAAATAAATAAAAGATAAAAGAGAGAACAAAGATCTCCCTCGTGTGCGGGTGCGGCTTCCCTCCGCGTGTATAGCCTCTTCGCCTTTTCTCCCGTGTATGATCCCGCAGTCGGCTTTCTTTTCTTCTGTCCTTTTTCTTGTTCACCTCTCCCCCTTTTTCTCTCTCTGTCTGCCCGTATATATCAAAGTCCCAGTGTGGAGTACTCTAGCTTCATTAGTGCGCGAGTGTCACAGGATAAAATAACTCTTCCAAGTATTTGTCCCAATAAGAATTGTTCTTGTTCTTTTTTTTTTTTCCTTTCACCGAAACGTGGCAGCTCCCATTTGCTCCCTTAACTAACAAATCAATTGTATTTGGACTTTGATTATAGTGCACGGCATGGTATTAGGGCCCAATAATGACTCGCGCGAACTCGTCCAATGTTCTGGATCCACAAAATGCTTTGAATTCCTAAAATAAAACATAAAACATCAAAGCAAATAAATCCACTTAAATAATAAATTTATCAAAAAAAATATAAAAGTGCGAATAAATTAAGTGTATAAAAATACACTATTAAAGATATAAAACGTGTACATTATTCGACCTATCAGAGTCCTTTATATAAGGCTCATAAACCCTAATCCTAACTTGTCCAACAAAACAAGAATCCTAACAATACTAACTTGTCTAACAAGACAAGAATCCTAACAAAAGTGATAAATAAAAAATTTCCTAACAAATCTATAATACTAATAATAATAATAATAATAATAATAATAATAATAATAATAATAATAATAATAATAATAATAATAATAATAATAATAATAATTGAAGTGAATAAGATTCACCCGGGCTCCTTCAACTCGAACTGGCCTCCGTACCTGCAGAACCCAACACCGGGGGTGGCCCCTGCGTCGGGCCTCCGATGCTTAAGTCAGTGCTCAGATCAAGAGAGAGAAAGTGTGTAGTAAATGAATGAGGAGAGGATATCAGAATGAGGTACCTTGGCCCCCCTTTTATAG